TTTTAATGTATTTTTTATTACTGGGATAAGTTATAAATTACCTCAGTTGTAATTTTACATGTTTAAAAAATGCTTTATTTATTTGAAAGAGTAACAGAGAGAGAAGGAGAGACAGAGGGAGCGATCTTCCATCTGCTGGTTCACTCCCCACTTGCCAGATGGCCCAGTGACCAGTGCTGTGCCAGGCTGAGGCCAGAGGCCTAGAGCTTCTTCTGAGTCCCTGACATGGAAGCAGGGGCCCAGGCTCTTGGATCATGTGCTGCTGCTGTCTGAAATGTGTTAGCAGGGAACTGGATTGGAAGTGGAGCATCCACGACTCAAACTGACACCCATTTGGGATACTAGTACTGCAGATGGTGGCTTAAACTGCTGAGCCACAGCAAGCCCTAATTTTCCAATTTTTAAATATCATTACTATCCCTTTTGCCTTATAAACCAGAAATCCAGGAATCATAGCTGTGTTCTTGTCTTTACCACTCATTCCCTGTAATTTCTTGAAAGAGGGAAAGGGGGAGACACAGAGTCACAGAGGTTTTCCATCCATTGGCCTCACTAGCCAGGGCTGAGCCAGGCCAGAGCCAGGAGCCTGGCACACCCTCTGAGTCACCCTCGTGGATGGCAGTTCCCCACAGTGGTTTGGTTCTGTGTTTTCTTCTCCAGTTACATGCTGTAGTGACTGCTGATGTTTATGGCTCTGCTCTCGTCTGTCAGTTCATCTCCTAAGTAGTCTTTCAGCTCTAGTCTTTGCCTCTCAGACTTCCTCCACACACATTTATGGCTAGATTTTGTGAAGTATGAATATTATGGTTTTCTACCTGAAAGCTAGAAATTTCTCATGAGTGAAATTTTTCGTGCCATGAAGAGCCCCTCCTTCATTTATTCCCTAAGTGTAGATACAAGTCTCATTCAATTAAATTATCTCGTTTCTCTTAAATGATCTCTGGCAATCTTATATGGTTGTTCATCCTGTTTTATTAATGTGAAATACTCCTTTTTTTCCCTCTAAGCCTCATCCTAATTCCATAATCCCTATATACCAGATGAACACCTACTCATTTCCTTCATGTAATTATTATTACTGTCATGTCCTTCATGATATTTTTTTAAATATCCCATGTGAATTAACAACTCAGTGATTTGTGCTATATAGGATTCTAGACCTACAATCTAGCACTGTTAATATCTTATTAATATCTTATTGTTTAATCGATCGCATTTCTTTACTCTTAATGACTTGTTTAGGTTCCTATGTATTTGTCATGTCAGCATATTACTTGTATTTAGTGAGCATGTTCTTGTTGAGTGAGTGAATAGAAGATAGAAATTTTGTACATTTATGTTATTCTAAGTTAGGTTTTTCTTCTTTTCTTTTAAAAATCTAATTCCTTGCAATTGCCTGGTCCTGTGGTATGCTTTCTTAAAGATATAGCTCAAACTTGTGGATGGATCAAAAACATAAACTATACAGATAGAATTAATTGTTGTTATTCTTGAAAAGAGACCAAACATGAAAGGGAATAATGATGCAAAAGAGATGTTTTTGGTTGGAGAAGGCAAGGAAGAGGAGTACTAAGTATTAATGAGACACTTCTCATAGTTACAGTGACACTTCTTACTTAATTGCATTACTGAAATCTAATATGAGGTTGTGGATAGCCCTTTTTTGTTTAGAGAGAGAGAGAGAGAGAGAGAGAAATTGAGATCAAGAGAAATTTCCCAGCAGCTGGAGAGAGCTCTTACATCAGGCTGAAGCCAAGAGTCCTAAGCTCCATCTTTGGTCTCCTCTAGATGTTGGCAGGCACCTAAGTAACTTGATTCATCACCTGCTGACTCCTAGGATGCCCATTGGCAGGAGCTGAATAAGTAGCAAAGCAGGGACTTGAGCCCAGGCACTCTGAATTGGGTGGTAATGTCCCAAGCAGAATCTCGAGTACTGCATCAAATGCCTGTCCCAGTCCTTTTGTCTTGAATTCATTGTGTTTAGAAGGCTTTTGCTAGTTCAAAAAACACGTTGGTGGTAAGGAGCATTATCCTTTATCAATCTTTCTTTTATTCCTTCTTTTTTCTCTCTCTCCTTTTTTTTTTTTTAACTCCCTGGGAGATTTTTTTTTTTTTAATTTCCCTAATACTTTTTAGATGCTGATGATGTACAAGCATTATTTCACCAGTGGGATTATTCTGATTCCAAACCCACCTACATAAGTGTCTCTGTTTAAATCTATTAAAGGCAGCTCCAATCTACTTTGTCTATATTTGAATTCATGATTTTCTTCAAATCTTTCTCCTCTTTTTTCCCTCTCTACTTATGTTTTTATTCTTCTGGTTGCTCAAGTCAGACTCTAGGAGTTCTTTTCTACTTCTACCTTACCCTCAAATAAGTCTTCATCTTTTAAAAATGTATTTCATGTGTTTCAAAGTGAGAGTGACAGAAAGGAAGAGAACATCCGTCCTCTGGTTGCTTCCCAAAAGCCCGCCACCAGCCAGGGCTGGGAAGCCTGAAGCCATCATGTTTTGCTGATATCCCAGGAACATTAGCAGGGAGCAGATCAGCTGGGACTGGAATCTGTGATCCAGACAAGGAATGCCCATCACGAGGAGCAGCTTAGCTTGCTGCCCCTCCTCTCTCAGGTCTTAAAGGGTCCTCAGTATCTCCTAAATCAGTCTATTCATTTTTATTTCTCTTGCTACAGCCATAGATCTTCCCCCTCTACTTTGTTTCTTACCTTAAAACTTCCCTAATTGTTCTCCCTGCTTCTAGATTTGCTTCTTTCCGGTTCATTCTGCACATTGTAGCCATTGAGAACACCAAGTTATTGTTTAATAATACTTAATAATATAATCACATGATGAGTTTTGAGTTTCTTCCTTTTATCGAAGGGCAAAACACATAGTAGCAGCAATTTTCATGTATGTTATCACTAGAACTAAACTTGCATTTGTGTTAAGAGGGTTTAACTATTTAAGAGATCTGTTAGTTATAACCTAGTCTTTTTTTTTTCTTTGTTGTGAACAGTCTTGTGAAAGGTTATGCTTTTGAAGTTTTTTTTCTTATTTTGAGGATTTATTTGTTTTTATTGGAGAGTTAGATTTACAGAGAAAAGGACAGAGAGAAAGATCTTCCGTCCGATGATCCACTCCCCAAAGGACTGCAGTGGCCTTAGCTGAGCTGATCCAAAGCCAGGAGCCAGGAGCTTCTTCCAGGTTTCCCACACAGGTGCAGCGTCCCAAGGCTTTGGGCCGTCCTCAACTGCTTTCCAGGGCACAAGCAGGGAGCTAGATGGGAAGTGGGGCTGCCAGAATTAGAACTAGTGCCCATATGGGATCCTGGCACATGCAAGGTGAGGACTTTAGACACCAGGTTACTGTGCTGGGCCCATGCTTTTGAAGTTTTGCTGGATATTTATGTAGTCACCAATGGAGATTCTCATTCAAACATGTTATCATTTATTCCAAATTTCTTGTATTCTCAAATATGCCAGTCTTAGTTGTGTTTTTTGCATGTGCCATTTTTTTTTGCATGAAATGATCTTCCTCACTTTCTCTTTAAAGCCTGCATATCTCTCAGTAACTTTGTTTTATCCTTTCTCTAAGCACTGTGCTTTTCTTCTCTCATTTGTGTTTCTACACTGCTTTGTTAATTCTTTTACTTTTAGAACATCTGTCTGTTGTGCAATGATTTGCTTGTTTCTCTCCTACCACATCTAGTTCCTTGAGGTCAGAAATTGCCTTACTTATGTTTTATGCCTCAGACATGTAGTGTAGTGCCTGATAATATGTATAGCGAGTGTTGTATACATGACTTTTGTTGAGCTAAATTATGGGCAATAGTGTCCTGGTTTGGGCTCAACAACTTTTACATCATATTTCAACATAATATTTATAGTAGTTTATAGCAATTATAAAGATAAAGGATGCAGATCTCTCTTTTATGCAATATTCTGTTTTGCTTGGTTAGAATATCAGATATGGAGCATTCTGTCAGGCACTGTACTGAGAGATGTGCATGCTGTTTTATATGATTCTAAAAAGAAATCTACAGTATAAACATTAATTCTCTGTTTATCAGATAAGAAGGTAAAGGCTAAGAGAGACTAAGGATGTTCCACAAGTAGACATACTAGAGATGTTGTTTAAAGAGGCAGGATTTTAAGAAAGATGTGTGTGGTTGTCTTTTCTCATAGATATACAGATTGAGACTACCACCAGTCACTGAAAGCAACACTCATACTTCAGAACACGTGATTTTGACTTTCAATTTACAGAATTGCTTGTGATATTTCAGGTGCATATTAGTGCATTATTGTGTTTAATACTAATTTTTTTGAAAGAGAGGAGAAATGCAATAACTCACTTTGCTTTCCAGTGTATCTAAGTATGTGCTTTTGGTCTAATTATATAGCTGATCATTTTAGTTTTCATATTTATAATATTGGTAAAATCTAACCCCAAATTACTAGGTAAAATCAACAATATTTTTAGTGACTTTTTCTGATTAAATTTTTTCTTCACTTACGTAAAGTTGAAGAGGCATTAGTTAAAGGGGTATTTTAGTAGCAATTTGCATAACGCAAGTAATGATATTTTGTCTAGTGATATATATTGACGTGCAAGTTGATGTGTTTTATTGCTTTTACACAGTTTTTCCTTTTGGGTGCAGTTTTTAATTAGGATGTTATTTAAGGAAGGGTATTTTTCTTTTTGTGGTACTTGAAAACTTAATTTTGTTTATGGAAATTATTTTGCTTAAATATCTTCATATCTTCATCTTATAGCATGTTCTTGCTTGAATTGAATGATGTGTGTGGAAACTATTCCTTCTAAATTTCTTAATTTAAAGTCTAAAATTCTGAATTTCTGTCAAAATGTAATTTGGATATTTTGAGAATTTTAATAGCAAACTCTTATAAACTCTTACTTGTTTTAAGAATGGAATTAATTCTTTCTTTTTTGTTTTGTCTTTTCTGTCTTTTCTATCTTGCTTTCGTGGATATTCACACCAGGAGGACAAAGTGGTTAGAGCCTTTTTTTTTCCATCTAATATTATTTTCTATCTAATATTGTAATTGCCTGTTTTAATTTTATGGCTATATTTAATTTATACACTTCTAAGTTGTGTAAGTTTAGTGCATGACAAATGCTAAGCGGCGTATTTAAGCATGCTATCTGAATTTATTGAAAACATTTGATTGTAGTATAGATGAAAAATTGATGATTCGATTTCTAGACGAGTTTGTCTTTTTAGACTTTAGTATATTTCTTCAAGGAAATCTCAGAATTGTTCGTTGGGATAAGAATTCTTTTAATCTAATAATGTTTCCGTAAAGATGTTACTGAGTTGGCCACATTTTTAAAAAAGAAGCTTCTGACTTAATTTATAGATTCCTTCTTGGTAATAATGAATTAAAATCACATTTAATATGGGTTTTTTGAAGTACGTATTTTGAAACTGATTATAAGTATGTCATATACTCCCTTTAATAATACAGTTTTAAAAATTGTTAGAATGTTCACCTTATGTTCTTGTGTTGAACAGAAGATGTATTTGAACTTAAAATAGAATTAGAATATAAGCTGGTTTTGAATATTATGCTAATATGTGCCTTTTGAAAGGTCAAATATGGATTTGGACCTGCTATGGCCTGGTGATTCCCTGAAAATAGAGACAAAATCTTTCTATTATTTCTTTTACTGAATCAGGCTAAAGATTTTTTTCCCCTAGTGTTCCAATTTAAACTGACATAAAACCCAAGGGGGCATCTTTTAACTGAGGTTCTCTAAGCACCTTTCAACTGAGTTATTTTTAAACCACTGAAGCTGTTTTATTTGTCTCCAAAGTGTTCAGTTTCTCAGCAGAGGATGCTGTAGGTGATGGCAAATATTGAATATGGGTTTAAAATAAAATCACTAGAAGAGGAAGGATTCTGTGACTTCTTTCCACCTTTAAAAAACCTGTACGAATCTTAAGTATTTTTGATTCAGTTTTGAAGATAATATGGATGAGTTTCTGTAGCTGTGTTCTAGACCGCATCTCACTCTTGTTCCAAGATTCTATCAGCTTTCCACTAGCCCACCTTGTTACCTGACTGGAAAGCAGCACAATTCCGGAATCTACACTGCTTTTTTTGGTGTAGGGAATTTACACAGGAAGTGTGATACTCTCATTGATTTCCCCGGTTCCACAATGAATCCTATAGCTGTTCTATTGATGAGGCACTTGATGATACCTTAGCTATTGTAATAACTTTCACATGCTGACCAAGTATTATAATTTGATACTTTTTTTTACATGTAATATGTAATTTGACACTTAACATGCCCCATCGGGGGTACATTTGCTTCAGCAGTTGAGATGCTGCTTGGAAAGCCAGCGGAACATAATGGAATGCCTAGGTTTGAATTCGGTTCTGCTTCTAATTCCAGTTTTCTGCTGATGGCATAACCTGGGGAGATAGCAGGTGATGATGGCTCAAATATTTGGGTCTCTGCAAGCTGACATGTTTTCTGTATTAATGCACATTATACAGTCCTCCACTCCTTGTTTACTTTTTCTAAAACTACCGCTATTATTTTTATGTGGAGTTGTAGGTCTACAGATTCTTAAAAAATTTTTCAACTTTTACTCTTTAAATTTTTTTCCATTAAAAATTTTTGTTTGAAAGGCAGAGACAAGGAGAGAGATAAGAGACCAAGAAAGGTCTTTCATCTACTTGTTCACTTTGAGTGTTTGAAGCAGCTGGTGCTGGGCTAGGTGGAAGCTGGAGCCCAGAACTGAATCCAGGTTGGCTTATGTGGGGGGCAGGCACCTCACTCCAGGGACTATCACGTGTTGTCTCCCATGATGCCCCGGAACAGGACGCTAGAATTAGGAGTGGAGCTGTGCTGAATATCCACTTTTGCACTATTTTTGATTATTTCTCTTTGCTTACACAATAGTTGTATAGAGCTATTCCAGTAAATACATGATTAATGGTAATATTGTTTATTTCTCTTTTTATTTCTATTTATTAATTCTATGACATTTATAGAACCTTAATAAAATTTTTCCAGAATCTGACTCTCTTTGATGGTTGCATGGCCAACTCTTTTTAAAAAAATCATACTTAATTTATTTCTATGATCATTATGTGTATTGTAAGTCTGGCAAAGATTAGCATTCATATATTGTTCCCTAGGGAAATTAGACAAACATACAGGGTTGTTCATTCAATGCAGAAGTGTCTTAGAGTGTTACTTAGCTAACATTCCATTTGACAAGAATGTGCAACAAAATCAATCTGAAAATCAAAGAATTTTGAGGAAATTGAAAGAGGGGTTACTGAATACTTACTTGAACATAATTTATGAGCATTTTTTAAGACTAATGAAAAATTTGTAATTTTGAAAACCATTTATCTGCTTGTATATTTAGAATAAATGGGCATATAGTTTTAAAAATCTGTTCGTTGTTCTTTTAAAACTAATTCCATGAAAATTCTATGAAATCAAATGTCAAAAATGAAAGATTCTCCATGGAAATGTTTGTGGCAAATGAAAGTACCGATAAAAATAGTATGTCAAAGTTTTCTTTTTAGTTGATGTTGTTATAATGAGAGTTGATCTAAAGTAAGGCCAAGATACCAGGCCTGATTACTCAGAAATAGAATAATAGATTATTGTTTGAACTTTAAAGGGTTGTGTTAGGTGATTTAAACTCCAATATTTTTTAACTTTTTTTTTTAAAGATTTATTTTTATTATTTTTTTATTGGAAAGGCAGATATACAGAGAGGAGAGACAGAGAGGAAGATCTTCCGTCCGATGATTCACTCCCCAAGTGAGCGCAACGGGCCGATACTATGCCGATCCAAAGCCAGGAGCCTCTTCCAGGTCTCCCACGCAGGTGCAGGGTCCCAAAGCTTTGGGCCGTCCTCGACTGCTTTCCTGGGCCACAGGCGGGGAGCTGGAAGGGAAGTGGGGCTGCCGGGATAGAACCGGTGCCCATATGGGATCCCAGGTGTGCAAGGTGAGGACCTTTAACCACTTGCGCCACCGCACCGGGCCCGATATTTTTTAACTTTTAAGGTGCTTAGTTAACAAAAGGTATAATAAGCCTTGTGATTTTCCTCAATTTACGTGAGTTTTGTAACCTTTGGGCTAGTAATCTGATATTCAGAGAAGTTATTAAATAAGACAGAATAGTTCAATTAGGTATTATGACAATTGTATCCTCATTGAGTATTTCCCACTGCATGTCATAATGGATTTTTTCCCATTTCTGGTTTTTTTTTTAATCTCTCAGGATCAAAATAGAATACTTCCCCGAAATCTGATAGGAAGTCAATTGCTCAGAGTTTATCTCTCTGTACTGGAGTTTTTCTTTTTAAATATTTATTTATTTTTATTGGAAAGGCAGATATACAGAGAGGAGATATAGAGAGAAAGATCTTCCATCTGCTGATTCACTTACCAAGTGGCCACAACGGCTGGAGCTGAGCTGATGGTCCAATGCCAGGAGCTTCTTCCAGGAATCCTAAAGCTTTGAGCCATGCTTGACCACTTTCCCAGACCGCAGGCAGGGAGTTGGCTGAGAAGTGGAGCATCCCGGTCATGAACTGGCACCTATACGAGATCCTGACCTATGCAAGGCGAGGACTTTACCCATCAGACTACTATGCTGGGCCCTGGAGACTAAGTTTTTAAATTTTATTATTTTTTTTTTTTAAGATTTATTTTTATTATTTTTTTCATTGGAAAGGCGGATATACAGAGAGGAGAGACAGAGAGGAAGATCTTATCGAGATCTTTTCCACTTTTGAGGCTTGTTTATTTATTTATTTATTTTTTGTCGTGTTGGATGGTAGAACTAGATTAAAAGATGAACATTCATGAAAGCTATTCTGTAGCCTGGAGTTGTTCTAGTAGACATAGTTAAATATAGCCTATAATAGGAGTGCAGTCAATCTCAGTGCTTTGTTACAACAGACTCTGTGGGTGCAGACTCTCTGAGAGCTCACTAGAGTGTAATCAACCTGGTTGCTTACCAAATTGGATCTCCACGAGTAGCTCTGTGCTGGCTGCAACCATCAACAGAGTAACTGACCTGGGCCTTCAGTGAATAAGGACTCACTCCCCAGGTGCTGGTGCCTCTAGGGAGGATGTGCACTGGTTACTGGCTTGGCTTTTGTCCAAAATTGATTTTTAAGGATTTATCATGATAGAATTTGCTAAGTTGTTTATGCGCTGTTTAAAAATGATTCCCTATTCTTGGAATTGAGGGTAAGTTAAGTTGATAATGGCACAAGTGAGACAGATGTTACCCTAATAACAGTATTGAGACTTCTTATGATATTGAGAAAGTAGTGAACTAGCCAATTAAAAGTAAGATAATGTTCACTAGGGACACACTGGAAGTAACCCATTGATTCAGAGTCCATAAAGATCCAAGAACCTTTGATTTCACTAAATAATTTGGTTTGTGGAGAGTACAGGGTAAAGGGAAAGATATTGTTCCTCTTTGACATACAAAATTATTATTTTTATTGGTTCTATTTATTTTGTGATTAGAATTCAACCAAATTCTCTTCCTCATCTCCTGTCACTTTACTTTTTAAAACTTTAAAATCCAGTTGTTTTGAATTACATCTTTTTATGTAAGAGACATCAAATTCCTTCATGTCTCTGTGCCTTTCACACGTTTTCTTCATCTAAAATCTTGTCTATTTTAACTATGTAACCAGAACACTTAGCTCCTTTCATTCCAGCATAAGTAGCTCTGCCTTCAGAAACCCTCCAGTATCTTTTATATGTTGTCAGTACTGCCCTTATCAGATTGCACTAGGATTTATTTATGTACATGGGTGTTCAGTTGGTGCTGGTAAACCAAATGCAAAGAGTTTTTTTCTTTTTTATTTAATGGTTTTGTGTGGTTGTTAGCCTTGCTCATTGAGTAAAATGCATTGTCAGTTTTATTTAACATTATCTTGAAATTAATATAAAGTGATATCCTGAGAAATAGCATATTTTATTTCTATGGA